ACCCACAACAGCCAGCGTTGTTCTAAGAACTGGAGCAGAGCTGAGCCTGCAGGTGGAGTTCAAGCAGGCTTAGCAGCTCTTGGGATTCAGCTGGTCTGGCACTGCAGCTGGGGATCTGCCTTCTAACAGGGACCTGCCTGTAGCCATAGGCAGTATGTAGAAGACACCGGGAGCAACTCCATTTTCCAAGGGGATAGAACCAATGACCACTCTGGCTGGACATGACCCTGACCTTGGTTCACTTCTGCACCACACATTTGGCTTTCTTGTCACTCACAGGACCAAAATATCAGAGCATCATGCTTCCTGGGTACCATCAGCCCCTATTTATAGGTGTGAGCGATTTAGCCTCTTTTTCCTCAGTTCCCAGCCTCTTGGGGAATCTGGAAAATTCCCAGAATTAGGATATGATAGGTGATGAGTTGAAAATGATGGCTGCGACTTGAGGCGTGCAGGGTAAACTGGTGTGGGTCTTCTACTGCGTACAGTCTGAATTTTCCATATATTTGATGGAAGCAAGAGCCTTGCTGTGGGAGATTCCATATGATTATAAGAGAAGCTTCTAGATTCACCTTGGCTGTGCTGAATACTTCTATCATTGATTCTGGGTCTTCATTCTTTGCATTTCCCCCAGATCCTATACCCTAAACTTCTAAAAAAACCCCCACAGAATCTCAGGATAATCATAAGACTATAATAATGCATCTAGAGATTTATTAAGTTTAAGTTTCCCTATATGGAAAGAGAAATGATTCTGCCCTCAGCAGATGTGTCAACTTTAGTCTTAACCACCTCATTGGACTCTTGGTATCCATTTATTGGCCTGTCAATAAGAATAAAGTTACTTTAAAATTCAATGGGTATATTTCTTAAAACATTTGAGTGCCACTCAATGGGTGTATCATGGGGTATTGATTGTATTATCTTCACATGCATGGAGCTTAATAAATAAATAAATGGTAGTTGTTATTCTTAACATTAGAGAAAATTCTCTAAATGCAAGATGTTCTGGCCCCAGACTCTTAATGGCCTGGTACTAATGCTTGTGTTTCCTCCAGTAGAATTGAAGATAAAATCCAACGGGTATCTTGTTTTAAAGCCATAGTCTTGAGTTTGCAGTAAACAGTTATGGGTCCACTCCTGTCTCCCCACCTTACCATTTCAGATCTTTGTAACTGCTGAACTCTAGATTTATTTGCTGAGGGATTTCTCTGGGCCCCCAAATCTCCTCTGTCTGTGCTCAGCAGGCTGGAAGGCTGGGGAATTCGTTCATTAAGAGGAATCCTTAACCAATAACTGATGGGAGTTGGTGGATAATACCCAGCTCCTCCACCCCTTACAAGGAGGTCCCTTAGACAGTGGGGTACCACATTCTTTCCTAATTCTCACAGAAGGATCAAATCCTGGTGGCCGCAGTGATAATTTCCTTTCTAACACACTCTCATTGGTTGCCTTTTCTTCCTTGTCTCCCTTACTCCAGGTCTTTCTGGCGTTTCCTGGGATCACCTTTCAGATGAATTACTTGTACTCAAGCCCTTGTTTAGAATCTCCTTTAGGGGATACCCAAATGAAGGCAGATTTCGATTCAGATATGAAACCTTTGGGTGCGTCTAAGTTTTGTGTAAATGATCCAGCAGAGATAGGGTGTTGTTATTTGAAGAAAAACAAGCCTCACCAAGATTAGATGGACCTCGCCAAAGAACATCAGGCCCATTAGGTGGATGCCAGGAGCTGATGTGGGAGCTCTTCATAATAAACTGGAGCCATCTGCCGGCCTATAATAACTGGAATATGAAAGTCCTAATCTGGGATGTAGTTAAACTGTTTACTCTCTGTTTGTGGTTATGTATTTAAAGCTTAACATGCTCGGAACGGTGGATTTAAATTCATAAGCACATTGTTTTACAAAATTGGCACGAAGCCCTTTCAATGCAATATGCAAAATACATTAGTAGGTTGCATCCAGAGCTTTGTGTTTTCTCTTTGTCCTTATTATTTTTTGTTTTTATATAAAGAAAACTGGTAGGACCACAGTCCTGCAAAATGCCTTGTGAGGATGCCAAGAACCACTCTCTAAGCCACTTTCTAAGAAGCAATTTCCTTCCTGTCCCATAAAACTCCCCAAAGCACCTTAGGCGAACACTGAAGCATTGGGTATGTTTGCAAACTGCAAATACAGCAGACATTTAATTACACCGAATTCATCAAAACCCTAATTGAGACAGGAGCTCAAACCTTACAGCTTAATTACTTTAATTTCAGATGGGTAACAGACTTCGTCCTGTACTGCCCTTTATGCTGAAATGCTTAAAGAGAGGCCCACGGGCGCTCACTGGTAATTCTCCCAACCAAATGAAAGTGCAGATCAACATAAATAATAATGCTAAGTGAGACCCATGATTGGATTTATTAATCACTTCAATTCCCAGTTTCCGTCCTTTGCTGTAATATTCCGCTGCACCAGTTTTATCGCCTGGGAGGGTTTCTCAATGTGGGGAGGTGGGCAACTTTCATTGCTTACTAATTTTTTCTGTTCCATCCACTGATCAGACAGCACAGAAGGAAGTACCCGTCCTTTGAGATTCTCCTTCTATCAACATCTCTTCATTTTCATTTTCATTTAGAAGACCTTCTCCTTGACCTTCCCTTTCCTTCTTACCACATATCCTTGGGAAACCCTGGAGGCCTGTTAGAGAATTCCACCAACAGGCGGTTCAATTATTACAGTGACCTAATGTGGAATTTGGCAGTCAGGACCACCTTTATTGGTATTCTGGCTATTGAAAATGGTACCCAACTTGTGTTGGCTTACTGTGTGGGCCAGGTCCTATTAATATTGAACTTGCTAGGTTTCAACCTTATGGCAAAGCTGGGAAGAAGGTGAATTTATACACACTCTATAGGTAAGAAAATGGAGGCAGATAGAGCTGAAGTCACTTCTTCAAGGTCTCATAGTGAGTAAATGACAGAGTCAGGAACTCCCAGGCCAGTCTGATCCCCCAGGCCATGGTACTTCCAAAAGTTCATTTTGCTTCCTCTGAAAAGTGTTTAGGGATTTCACAAAACCCTAAAAGAGAGAACTGGATGGCTTTGAAAATCTCCAAGTGGGCACAGGATGAGGAAATTCAGAAGAAAGGGCTGGCACCCAGAGTCATGGTGTGGGCTGCTTTGAACAATGATTCTGGTTATTTCTCCTCACAAGTGTGTGGGGTTGTGAATAAACCGGCAAAGATCTCTGGAGGGATAGAGTGACAGATACCAGTGTTTGCTGACATGCAGGCAGCCACATGCCTTTGACGCACGTGTTCCAGCCAAGCTGGTGATGAACTGAGTTGCTGAAGAATTATGCACCCACGTGAATTCAAGCCATTTCATAAGTAATTAGTTGTGTGACACTGACTAGACACCGCCCCGTCATTTGTCTCATTTCTTTACATTATCTCTCCCCCTTTGGGCTTGCTTTTGAATTAAGCTCCAGGTACAAATGACTAATGAACAACACCAATAACGGCCAGGCTAATAATCATACTGCTAATGGTGACAATGCTAATTAAGAGAGTGCTAACAGCAACAGACTCTACTGGTGTGACTATTCATCTCCGGAAGGCAATGAGGTCTCCAAGCAGAGGACAGCCAGGGGAGAGTGACTGGCACTGAAGGTAATGATGGAGACTCATTTTCTTTTTCTTTTTGGTGTTAACCACATAGGTATGAGAATTTAAAAACACTGTAATATGGGTCCAGAGAAATCTAAGACAACAGATTATTGAGCAAAAGGATGAGAAAACAGAAAACATTGTCTGGTGAGTTGAGCAGAGCTCAATGATCAAGAACAGAAACAGCTGTCCAGGAGTCCCTTGTTAGAAGGAATTTGTCCACTTGGGGGCCCTGGAGCTAATTCCTGATGAGATCAAAGGGTCCCATTTGCCCATCACTCAGGAGTGACTATACACCAGGCATCCCGGACAGATCCATCCATGTAAAGATGGTGGTGGTAAAAGAGGGCCATATACAAGAGCAACGGTGTGCTGCAGTATACACGAGGTGGAGACACTGGAGTCAGCGTTAGAGATGGGCAGCCTGGGGTGCCCCAGCTGGCTGCTGAAAATTGGAACAACCTGGTAAAGAGTATATTGAAAGGTTGGAAGGTGCATTCCTTAGCCTCTTAGGATCCACAGGTTGCTCAATTTTATAAGTGGAGCCTCCTCAATGGAATCCTTGAAGTTGCTTTCTTTTCTTTCTTTCTTTTTTTTTTTTTTCCTAGAAGACACTGAGCCTTGGGTGTTTGGGCAGGGAGTTCAGGATCACAGTTCTTCTGAACAAAGTCCCTGTGGAGTCACAAAATCTGCACACCTTTGGTACTGCTCCAACACACCGTGCCCATCGCCACTCAGGAGCCTCACATTTTGGTAGAAATTCCCCAAACGGACACCAGGGTACATAAAGGAAACAGATCCTTATGATTCCCTAGCAGCGGGATAATCTCCTTAGCTAAAAGGGAGGTCTGTAAAGTCCCTCCGAACCTCAAAATCTAGCTAAAGCAGACATGGAAATAAAATGCTCCTCTCTGTCCCTATAAAAAGAAAAGCTGTGTCCTAAACTGTTTTTTGGTCGATGATATTCCAGCCCTCTGTCTCTCCCATTTATTTTATTTTCTCTCAAGCAAAACCAGATCTAAAATTGTTTGAAGTCATTCTAGTTCAGATCAGTAACCCATCAAAACGAGTGGGACACATTCAAATTTGTGACTTGCGTCTTTCAGGCCGGTTAATTATTTATGTGGACTTGGGGATTCTGAATCCCATTCTGCTGGAGACATTTAAATAAGGATGGCTTGACAGTGTGTAGTTCCCACAGGTTCAGCCTCCTAAGGTGTGAAGCCCTCAATCACCACTGGCCCATTGTGAGTTGTGTCCCAATAAGGACCATCTTGTGCCTCAACTTTGCCTCCTCTTCTCCAGATGCTTTGTTCCTTCATCATGAGGAGCTGTCCGTCTTACCTGCCCTGCGAAGAGCCCACAGACGCCAATGATGCACAGGATATTGAACACGGCTGAGCCCACGATGGTGCCAACTCCTACGTCACCCTTGGTGATGAAGACCCCTGAAACACAGATCCCATGTCAGCCTGCTTGGGGTGGCCCAGTTGAATTCCAAGGTGGACCTGGGGGCTTGCATAACTGCTAGACAATTCTCAGGATCTGTAGGAAACAGCCAAGGGTCGGAGGGAGCTTCCTAATCTACAGAGTGGAGACTATCCCACAGGAGCATCAGTCCAGGGTCAGGGACACATTCATGCATGGCCAAAGCATCATTTAAATAAAATAGCTGGGAAGTTGATATTTGGCTTGGGGCCCTGGACTCTTCTTTCCTTTCACTGGAAAGAAAACCCTGGCCTAGGTCATTTGTCCCCAGTACCCCCTCTCCCTTTTTTTCTCAGATAGGAAAGAGCCGAAATGCCTCTCAGCTGAAATCACCTACCTATGACTGATGTGAACAGCTCTGGGGCCGAGCTGCCTGCTGCCATAAATGTGGCCCCTGCCACATCTTCGCTGAGGTGCAGGCGCTACAGAGGAGCAAAGACAAAGCACAGGTGAGTTTGGATTCTACCTGAGAACAGAGGTGACGGTGACTCTGAGGTCCCAGGTCCCGAGAAGGCCAGGACTAGGGTCTCAGTGAAACCTGGGGGCTGAGTTCAGTCCTGCTCAGCCTCCTTCCCATCCTCCCAGAGCTGGATCACTGCTGCTGGACCCCTTGGTGGACCAAAACTCCTCTTAGCATCCTCCTCACAGGAGGGCTCCCAAATCCAAGTGCCCCAGGGGCCATGCTGATGACAGGAAGGCGTGGAGTGGGTGGCGTGGGGTCACAGTGGATGACGGGCTCAAGGCAATGAGGGGCATTCACCTCCAACCTGACAGCAGCATTGCCAGTTCCCTCAGTGTGGCCAGATATTTTGATTTTAAAATAGAGGCCAAAAATCCAGATTTATATGCAAAATATCCTGATTTTTTTTTTTTTTGCAATGCTTTGATGATCTTGGGCAAAATAAGGTTCATGGCCACCAGTTTGTGAGCTTTCATTCTGAGGCTTAAAGGAGGCTGCTGGTGTGTGTGTGTGTGTGTGTGTGTGTGTGTGTGTGTGTGTGTGTAAGTCACCTTCCTGCAACTCTCTCCCCAACCTTGATGGGGTCCTCAAACCCTGGGTGTTAGAGCAAGAGCGGGGGCTTGAGATGGGGAAAGGTGATGAGGTATCTGCTCTGCTGAGGTCTATACAACACTCTCCAGGTCACCCTGCCTGTTAAACCAAAAGGTGATTTGCAAGAAGACAAGACAAATACACATTAGAGCATGTTTAGCTTTTCTGCCTTCTCTCATGATCCAGAAAGTAAGCTACTGGCTGGCAGAATGTAGCCAGTTCTGTCCTGGAGTTCCAGCAAAGACACGCCAGTCTGGAATGCCATTCCCAGATACACCAGTGGCTGCATTTCCTTGCTCAGCCATAGAGGGGCAGCATGGCCTTGGTGGAGGTGGTGGATCCACTGCCTGCTGGATCCGCAATGGACTGAAGCAGGAGTCCTGGTTAAACAATTTTACCTGGCATCCTAGGTCCCTAGGTCCCTTCGCTCTGGACTCAGTAGCTAAACACAGCGGAGACTCCAAGATGGAACCTCAACACTGAAAGCTGTGCCTGGAGGGATACCTGGATACTCCAGTTGCAATGAGGCAGGAGACTAAGGAAGGCAGCCTGACTCAGAGCCTGGGCTCCCTGGGTGGCTTGCTTTGCCCAGACTCACCATGAGCTCCAAGCCTTGCAGTGCTGTGGTTTTTTTCCAGGGAGACTCCACCATGGCTTTAGCTGTAGCCTTCCAAGTTTGGGTTCATAGCCTATTACTCTCTTTCCTTCCTTCAGTCCATTGTTTGTTTCTTCTTCCACATGCTCTTCCATTTCTCACTCTCTCTTCCCTAATTCACTCTAGTACTGGCAACATCTCACTGGACTCTTAGAATTACCACCCAAGGGGTCTTCTTGTCTCTGAACTTCCAAATACCACAACCAAGTCATGGAAAATCTTCCCCGGCTCCCGTGAGCATGGAATGATTTCTAACACGCGAGCCTGAAATACAGGCTCCCTCTGACCTGATTCAAGCCCCTGTTCTCCCTCTCTTGGTTCAGTGGCTCAGACTCTCTCTGACCATATATATATTTTTTTTCTTAAAATGCTTTGCCAACGAGACCTGCCCTCCAAGCATAAGCTCTTCCTGGTGTTCCAGGCAGAATCCATCTCTCTCCCTTTTCTCTCTGCACTGTCCAATTATCCACAACTTCACCCAACCCTCTGTGTATCCAGGAAGATTGGATACACAATCTTGTGTACACTGTGGACACTAAAATTCTTAGCTGCCAAGTTCCTTATATAAATCAGTGCAGCATTTGCATATAGCCTACACACATTCTCCAGCCTACGGTAAATCATCTCTGGGTTACTTAGAATTCCCAACACAATGTAAATGTTATGTAAATAATTGTTATACTGTATTATTTAGGGAATAATGACAAGAAAAAGTGTCTGTACATGTTCAGCACAGATGCAATATTTTTCTTGAATATTTTTTATCTGAATTTGAATACTTGGATATGAAACCTGAAGACACACTGGGCTGACTTTATCATCCTGGAGCCTGTCTGTGTCCTGTAAGTTCTGGGATGGCAAGGCCCATGCTGGAACTCATCAGTTACCTCCGAAGCCTTAGGCATAGAGCTTGGCCTGGGCAGAGCCCAGTTCAGTGTTTGTAATACATGGGATGGACCATGCCCCATGACCTGAGGGCATCACTCAAGGATCAGATGGTCCTTAGAAACCCCAACCTGGCCCTGAGAGCCTTCTCACCCTCCTCATTCAACGTTATCTTCTCTCCATAAGCCTCTGCTTGACCTAGGGATGCCATTGCTGGGGTCCTTCACCTCACTGGGCTTTTGCTCACTTTAGTTGTCTTTGAAACGCCTCTTTTCCTTCTTTACCTCCTCAGTGCAGCTGAGTCTCTACTCCCCATGGACATTGGATCACTCAACACTCTGGACACCTTCATGTGTCCCATGATGAACCTCCTGGATGTCCAAAATCTAAGGACTGCTAATCCACACAAGGGGAAAGGCAGGTGATAAGGGTGACATGAAGCAGGAACTTTGCAGACGCCAAGGCCTGACCCACCACTTGCTTGTGAGATCATCCTCTTTTCTTTCCTATTCCTTGTCTCCCTCAACCTCCTGGAGATGGAGAATCTACCCCTCAGCTGTGATTTACTGAATAATATGAATTTCTTTCGTAAGTCATATTCACAAAAGCTGCAAACAACATCTTTTTGAGTTTCTCTCCCCACCCTCAGTTTTAGTCTATGGGCAACCACTGACTACACACTACCACATCCTCAAGGCAGATGAGGGAGAGCCAAGGTAATACACAGAGGCCTGGCCCAGAAAGCCCTCTAGGCCACTGTGGATGGACCAGTACTGTGGTTCCTAATCTGGCAAGAAAATTTAGCTCCAGAGAGAACTGATCACAGCTCTCTGAGAAGATGTAAACCTGGGATCTCTGAAAAGCTGTAACTCTGTCCCTAACCCACCACCATTGACAGACATGATGTTTGTTGAACAAGTAAGGCTGTCTAAAGTCCACAGAGCCACGCTCTCTCTCAGGGAGACATGTACCCCCTCTTGTTATATTGATCTTGTTATAATGGACTTAGGCAGTGGGAGCAGGGAGAGCTTGGGAAAGGGGTCCCTTTTCTGTGCCCATCCCTCCTGGGTGCCTATGGGCCCTGGAGTTGGAGCCAATCTTGACCAAACCATGGCCTGATACAAGCTCATCTCTGCAGTTGAGTGGCAACAAGCATGAAGGCTCCAAGGAGCTCAAGCCACCTTGGGTTCAGATCACGACTCTACCCCTAGCTAGCTGTGAGTCCTGGGGAACGATGCTCAATGTCTCTGAGCTCTGACTTCTTTGTTCCTAACTCACCTGGTAGAGTTTGAGGAATGATTAAAGAGACAATGAGCACATCCACACCATACTCACTTAGTAATTGAGCCAGTTTCAAGCCCATCAAGGATTGAAGAGAAATAATAATTTCCCCTCATTAAACATTTTCTTTCTTTTTCTTCCCATCTTAACCTTTTCCTTAAAAAACTCACCCCTGTCCTCTTTTTTCTGCCATTTGACAGCTCTTTGATTGCTTCTCCCTATAAGGGCATGTGCTGGCAAGTTCTATGGATTTCTTCAATTAAGTGGAACCCATGATGACAACTGTATATATACTTACAGATCATAACAGCTTTGCTATTAACAGTAAGAAAGTTGCATGGGAACGAGACAGAGTGATTTTTGCTTTGCATAAAAAATAAACCCTAAACATTGGGAGAGTCAACTCTCAAAGAGTCCTGGGTTCCACATCCACAGATTCAACCAACCTCAGATGGAAAATATTCAGGAAAAATATGGCATTAATAATGCAATTATACTAAACACATGCAGACTTTCCCCCTAGTCATTATTCCCCAAATAATAAAGTTATGACAACTATTTATGTAGCATCTATGTTATATTGGGTATTTAAGTCATCTAGGGTTGACTTAAAGTACATGGGAGGGTGTGTGTAGGTTGTATGCAAATATTACGCCATTTTATATGAAGGATTTGAGCATCCAAGGATTTTGGTATCTGTGGATATCCTAGAACTAAACTCCCATGGATCCTGAGGGACAACTGTACTTCAGTCAAGTGACCCTGTCCCTGGGCTGAATCACTGTACCAAGGACTTCCATACCTGTGCACCCTACATCTCAGACACCACTTCACTTTCCTTATCCTACTGCCACTTCGCAGAGGAAACCCACTTCTGCAACCTCTGCAGGGTTACTGTGGAATAATTATTTGCTTGTTTATACACACAAAGAACTCACAAACTTCCAGGATATTGAAGAAGCTGTTTAAGTTAATGGTTTTCTAAGTGCATTTTCCAGACCAGCAGCCTTGGCATTACCTGAGAACTTAGTAAAAATACAAATTCTGGCCCTCTTCTTCCTCATCCCCCAAGACCTACTGAATCAGATGCTGTGGGGAGGAGAAAGGAAAGGGAAGGGGACTCAAGCCTTGAGGACGAGTGGCATAAAGAAACTGGAGTTCCGGATGGGCAGTGTCTGGGAGGGAGCCTTTCTGAAAACTGAGATTCTGAATCTGAAACAAGTAAAATAAATAAATAAAATGCAAAGCCTCCAGATAAAGGAAAACTGTTCTTCAGAACAGAAAAAGGAATGAAAGAGGCAAGAGAATGAGAGAGTTCTAGATAGGCTGAATATTTTTTTTTTTTGATGAAAGGCATTTGACTTGCTGTTCAGCCTGGTGTTCACTGTGATGATTTCTATCAGAGATATTTTCCTGAGCTCTGTGCCCAATTCTTTCAACTCAGTGCCTTTCAGGCCAATGCTCAGAGCATCTCTGTACCTATGTAAGAGAGGGTGATTGACAGGGCAGGTTCTCACCCTGCAAGGACCCCATGCAGGTCCACCAAAGCAGCAGGAGGAAATAAGGGAAAGGAAGGTGGGGGAGGGGATAGAAAGGAAAAGCAGGATTTAAATGAGGAAAAGAAAATGGGAGCAGGTCAGAACACAAGTATAGCTGACCCTCCAGATCCAGGGTTCTGAATTTATGAACTCTACCAATGATAGATCAAAAATTCTTGAAAGAAACTGTGTCTATACATGTACAGATTTTTGTCTTCTAGTTATTCCCTAAATAACACAGTACAACACTTGTCTACATAGCATTTGTGATTTATTGGTATTTTAACTAATCTAGGGATGATTTAAAGTATGTGAGAATGTAAATATACATTGTAAATACTGCACCATTTTACACAAGGGACTTGAGCCTCCACGGATCATGGTATCCTCAGGGAGTCCCGGGATCCACCCCCATGGACACCCAGAGACAACTGTATCTGTTATGGCCAAATGGAGCAGGAAAGCTGGCCATGTGGGTTAAAGTCCAGCCTTCGACTGGTGTCATGAAGCCCTCAGTGGATCAATGAAGATTTTGTGCTAGGGGCTGTGGCTGTGGCTCAGTGGTAGAGCGCTTGCCTAGCATGTGCAAGGCGCTGGGTTTGATCCTCAGCACCACATACAAATAAATAAATAAAATAAAGATATTGTGTTCAACTACAACTAAAAAATATTTAAAAAAAGATTTTGTGCTATTACTGTTCTTTCTCAAACAAGTGGATGCCTGGCATCTAAGACTTCCAGTGGGCAAGGAGGCTGGAACATACTCAGACACAGATCCCTTTCCAGGTCTCAGTCAGACACAGTGAGAATGCAAAGCATGTACCTCACAGATCTTTTCCAAGGAAGGGACGAAGAAGTCATCACACACAATGGCCAGCGCGTAGAACATGTACATGGCCTGGAAGAGAAGAGAAAGAGTTCACGTTACAGTCAGGCAGAGCCAGTGGTGAGGGTCCGGCTACCTTCTGCTTCAATCATGTTCTCTGTTATCATGATCTTAACTCAGAGTAGGTCTTTACCATGCCCACAAGAACCTGTGTGACTTGGCCCAGCTTCTCTGACCTCATTGCTGCCACTCTCTTCCTGTCTATGTCCTCATTCTCCAAGCTTGCAACGGGTGCCCACTGCAGGGCCTTTGCACCTGCTGTTCTCCTCTGCCCAGAACCCTCTTCCCCTATAAAACCCTATTGACTCATTCCACGATGTCCTTCAAGTCCCTGTTCAAATATCAACCTAACTCTCCTCCTACCATTTCTCTTTACCCCATTACCTTGCCTTCCTTTCTTTTTGATATATCATACATTAATTTTTCAGTTGCCAGTTTTTCTGTCCAAAAGAACAGGAAGAATGAACTTTATTTTATTGTTATGGTTTGAATATGAGGTGCCCCCTAAAAACTCATGTGTGAGACAATAAGGAATTTTCATGGGTAAAATGTTTAAATTGTGAGAGATATAACCTAATAAGTGGATTAATCCACTGATATGGATTAATTGAGTGGAAACTGGACAGGTGGGTGGGGTGTAGGTGGAGGAGGTGGGTCATTGGGGGTGTGACTTTGGGATTTTTATTTTGTCCGTGGTGAGCACAGCTCCTGATTGCCATGTTCTGAGCTGCTTTCTTTGCCATGCCTTCCACCATGATGTTCTGCCTCCCTTTGGGCCCAGAGCTAACGAGTCAACTGACTCTGGACTGAACCTCTGAAACCGTGAGCAAAAATAAACTTATCCTCCTCTAAGTTGTCCTCTTCATGACTTTTGGTCACAGAATGTAAGGCTAACTAAAACCCAATTATTGATATATAACTAGAAGTCAGCACAAGTCTGGCTCATAGCAGGTGCTCAATAAATATAGATGGAATGAAGACATAAATAGATAAACACTTCCAACTGAACCTGCTTACTATCTTGGTCCCTGAAGAACAGCCTTCATAAATGTGTTTCCAAATCTTGGTCATCTATGACCAAGAAGGAAGAATTTTACCTTTGGGCAAGGAATTGCTTCTCCACCTTATCCAACCCCGTGTTTACTCACTAATTAAGGAAATATTATTTGGATTCCAGTGTTGGTTGACCACCCAGCATCCATCTCCCACTCTTTCCTGAGGGGATCCCATTTTAATCAAATTTTCACAAGGCTCTATGTGGAAGGTGACTCCATCCTTTTATCCAAGGGTAGAAAATGGTCTCCTAATTGCTGTATAATGATGACGATTATTGTTTCAGAGGTGGTCACATGACCTAAGCAGGCCCAATCCAATGACAGGAAAGTCTATGTTGTACTTTATAGTACTGCGGGTTATGGACAAGAATCTGGGGCCCTAATTGTCATTGGTAGCCATACTGAATGACTTGAAAGGTGGTAGACCCTGACTCAGAAATCACTTAAGCCCTTAAGGACATCCTGAGTCATTGATCACATAGTGTGGAGCCTTCCATGCCTCAGGACTTCATAAATACCATAATCATCACTGAGGTCAGTTTGGAGTTTTCCTCTTACTTGCAGCCCAAAACATTTGATGGATGTGGTTCAAGTTCTAAAATCCTCAGTAGTGATATGTCTTTCATTATTGACCACCCTTACCACAGGGCATAGGACGTGACCACAGCTAGCCATCAGAACACCCCATTCCCTGTCTCACAGTGGGGGTGTGTAGGAGGTCTGCTTAAAGGGCCACAAAGGGATTATTAGAGAAGTTGGGGGAGAAGGTCTTTCCTCTCATGAGATACAAACACCCTTTGGATCTGAAACTACTAGAAATGTAGAGAGAGGTTATCTGAGAAAGTAGCTGACACAGTAAGAAACCAAATCAAGAGATGGAATCGGTACACTACACACTCAGTCTGAAACCAAAGTGGACTTTCTCATTTCATGAGCCAATAATATGCCTTTTATACTTAAGTTGTCTTGAGTTTCTGTAGCAACCTGTGTGAAACGATGGCAACCTTTTGACTCTCAGTCATACTCTAATCTAGTCCGCTGGCCCTCCTTTGGATAAGCTTATTTTCTTTGCACAAGTGTGTATTTTGGTCTTTTCCATCGGATTTTAAAATAAGCCTTAACATTTGATTCTGTGGAACTATCAGACAAATGCAAAAAGACATATTTGTTCCAAAACAACTGGCTATAATAAATTATCAAAACCTAATGAAATTTACCATAATGAGATGGGTTATATAAACTATTATTCCTTATCCAATGAAATACTATTAAAAGGAATTATGTAAATCCACATTAAGAGATGAGGACATGCATTCACAATACACTGCTAAACAGAAAATTTTATAAAACAGTATGCAAAATCTCTTTTTCAAATTGTCAAAGTACACATACACACACACACACACACACAAGTATATTTGTGTACAAGTTTGTAAGCCCATCAATCAAAATAACAGCCCCCCTCACTTAGTGTGAATCTGTCTACATTTTACAATCACTGTCTATACTTTTTAATTTTTCCATGCTGAATTTTTATTTCTTGTGTGATTTTTCTAGGTGGTAGGAGATTTTAGAGGTAAAAGCTCTGTTTTATACTTCTCTAATCTCTGAGGAGCTGGGAGGCTTGGCATATGGAGAAATCTTAAAAATATCTTTTTATTGATTGATATACTCAATCTGTACAAAATTATTTGCCCGTGGGGTGTTTTGAAGATGTCAATTTAAAAATAATTAATGCTGTATTTTACAGCCTTGGGGATAAGCTAGATAATACATTCCCGAATTACAATGGCCTCAAACCCTCTTTTGCTGTGTGACTTGGCTGATCCAGTGATACACAGGTTTTAACATTATCCTTGAAAGGACATCCAAATTCAGTAATTGAAATACAGAACCGCACATCTGTGGATTAGCCAAGACCTAAATAAGCTGTCTATCGCTGACATATTCAACTCACTGAATAGCCAACCCTGCTTAGAAGTCCATAAACCACCTCAGCAAGAATATGTCCCCATATTAAGTATCGATCTTGTTTCAGGGCAAGAAGCTCTGTCTAACACACGGTAATATCAATGCTCAGATCGGGACAAGAAATGAATAGATCTGCCAGGCTTTCAGTGCTTTTAAGGATGCCGGCTAAGGGGCATCACGATGGTTTCCATGCACAGGCAAGGTGAGGAGGGGACACCCACTGTCAATCAGACACTCTGTAACAAAGAACTTCTGGGGAGTCCAAGGGACCTGCAAGGCATAGGGGCTCCTTGTCAGCTATTGGTCCTGGGCATCTGAGGGTACGCCGGCCACTGTGGTTATAGAACCTCTTGCTGTAAAAGTTTGCCATGTCCACCCACGACCCCTCAAAAAGAGGCTCCCACTGGAAAAGCCATGCATAAGCAAACTGAACACAGCAACAAAACAAAGGTACAAGGTTCGAATTCAAGATTCAGGGTACCTACAGGAAGTAGGACATTGGTGGTACTATCAGTGCAACAGGCAAAAATATTTTTAAAAGAATTAGGCAATTTCAGATTCATTCCTACATTTCCAAAGGACATAATAATATCATTGATGATAATGATATTAATAAAAAATATTTGCCACAGCTTGTTGAGCCAGAAATTCCAGGCATGATCCAGGTACATTACATAAGGTTATACAATACAGTCCTTTATGAGGCCTATCTTATTTAATTCTTTCAGTTTCTGTGGGAGAAAGGGCCCCATTTCTCAGATGGCTCAAGAGAGTTTAACAATTTGCCCTAGGACACATGGCCAGCAAATGGCAGTGATTAGATTTGACCATAGGACTCTCTCAAGCCTCCCCTCACAGCTCAGCTATCCAGCTGTCTCTCCCTACAGAGGTCATTTCTTTCATTTCCCCTCCCTCCCCTCCCTTCCTTCCTTCCTCCTTCTCTCCCTCCCTTCCTTCCTTTTTTCTGCAATACCAGGGATTGAACCCAGGGCCTCATGTTTGCTAGACCAGTGCTCAACCATGACGCTGGCCCCCTGGAACTTTTAAAAAAACTTTTACTCTGAATCCAAGTTGCCCAAGCTCTTCTTGAACTTATGATTCTCCTTCCTCAGCCTCCTGAGTAGCTGGGATGATGGGCATGTGCCACCGTGCCTGGACTACAAGGCCATTTCTGATTCACGACTCTGTGTTTTTCAGCTCACCGGTTGGTAAGCTGCCTTCTCCAAACACACAGAGGGAGGAGCAGTTTTAGAATCCCAGCCATCCATTTTGGGGGGCTGTTTGTTAGAGCCACTGATGTTCTTTACTAACGTTATTATTTTTACAAGGTGCACCGCAGAATACAAGAGAGCTTTGAAGTCTCAAAAAAGTTTGAGCTGTCCCCATATCCTGGGCAGCACAAATGTGTTGGAGTTCACTGTGGAATGTGAGCCCCCAGCCACCAGAACAAGTCAGCACGTGGGACCTGTTCTGGAAATGACGTGTGAGGGATGTCGAGGGAGAGAGAGAGAGAGAGAGAGAGAGAGAGAGAGTGGTTCTTTTGGAACTTTAGCTGAGGTTTAGCACCACAGGGGCTTCTCTTCCATGGAAACTTGTTGAAACCCTCTGTGTGGAAACCTGTACTTTGACCTTGATCATGTGCAGCCTGGAGCATGAGCCCTGGATGATATTTGTGTGTCTGGCCTTCCTTCCCTCAAAGGTCAGTAACGGGGTCCTTTGCATGCATACCCACCCTGTCTCAGGATGGGCTGGTACAGAATGATTTATAAGGAATGAATAGATCCCAAGGACAGTGGTAATCATGGAGTAGCTGGTGTCCAAAGAAATGTTACATAGCATTGACAGGGCACAGACAGCTGCTCAAACAGATGTAGCCTGGGGCCTCGCAGGAAGCCCAGGATAGGTGGAGGATTTCACATCAAGTCCTACACTTGACACCTCCAAGCTGTGAGACTTTGAGCAACTCATCTCATTGAGCTTTCAACA